GGCACAAACTGCAGAGTTTTACCACTGCAGTCTTAATGTATCCTTTCTTCAATCAGGTATAAATGCCTGTTTGTATTCTAATGACAGTGTGCAGGTACGAGTCAGTGATTGGTGGATCAGCTGCTGGTTTGCAGATGATTGGCTCCTGTAGAAATCACACTTCTGCCTTATGTACTAACCAGCGACAATTGTTCTCCTGTTTGTTAGACAGGGAGGTTCGGTACACTGTTGTGTTCTGGTTTGCTGTTCTGTTAGATTATCTGGGATTATGTGTCTTCCCTCACCTCTTCAGATCTGTAAATGTGCTATAAACAGCTGCAGCTAATATCAACTCGAAAAATCTGTTCCAGTGGCTGAAGATTGTTCACTTCCATGTTTAGTTGTTGGTGTTGAGTTGTAGGTTGTTGAGGGAGAGGGGGTGAGAGTAGTAGGGTTGTTGAGGTGGAAAATGATGGAAGGGTACCAGGTGAATAGCATGTGAGGAGGTGAATGGAAGGAAGAATAGACTGTGCTTTTGAAAGCAGATTATGACATGAAGGCATCAAGAGAGGGGAGTCTGTGTAAAGACTGGATGAGGATGGGTGGAAGCTACAACGTCAAACCTGTAAAAAAAATATGTTTAGCTTGTTCACCTCATCTCAGGCTCCTTCTGTCCTCTGTTTGCTCTTTCCTCCATGGCCAGTTGGGGTTGTCAGAATAAATAGTACACACTACGTTGATCAAAAAAGGAAGAATGTAGCCCTTTATTATCCCATAAGCTCTTTCATGTAGCCAGTCTATTTCAACTGAACGTGCTTCCATAAATGATTAGCGTAGTTGTGTTCAAACAAAGCATTCCTGAACTGAGAGTCGAGTGATGTAATGGTTTTATTAAGCCTACCAAGAAGTTTAATGTTTGTGGGTGTATTTTATGTGGTTACTCTTTATGTCCTTACTTCCCTACTTCCTTTGAGTCATCTGAATTGATACAACTGAATTTCCCTTCTGGGATAAATAAAGTATTTTTCATTTCATTTCATCTGAGCAAGAAACAGGATTCTGATCAGTGAAAACTGGCTGTGGACTTGACCCAACATAAACTTGGAAGTTCTGAAGTCCAATTTGCAAATCAATTAGCGTATCCGCTGATGCTTTGTCTGGACCTGCCTAAATTTAATTAAACACTTTAAAGGGTGTTTAATTCTTGGGGAAGCAGGTGTTACAGCTGTGGCTGTATTTCTTTTGTAGTCAGTCTGTTGCCTTTCCTCAACATGAAGTGTAGGAATGGAGTGATAGGTGTCAGGTGTGAGCACCTGTGCTGTGCGCTGATTGGAGCGTACACACACGAGTCAGTGATTGATTGATCAGCTGCTGGCTTGATTGGTTTCTGGTCGACGACTCGCCATAGGAGGCATATGCTAATAAATAACACCTTTAAATGTGCCTAGAAAGCAAGAAAACAGAGTGAATTTGTAGTATGACTGAAAAATTCTCACCTGGGTTTAGATCAAGTGGTTGCAGAGGCCAGACTCATCTGCTGCAGTGCTTCATTACTCTCCATCTTGGTGTTTGATAGCCTGGAGTTGTGTTCTTAGTTAAAGAAAATAGTGGTCTCACTAAATGCAGACCAAATGTGCCCTTGCAGAATGTTATGGCAGGCATGCTGGCTTGGTGTTGGCAGGCCTTCTGAACAAATGGTCACCAGCGGCAACAGGAAGCTCCCGAACACCATCAGACTTCCTGTGTTTCACAGAGAAAAGCCACATAAGCAGAAATTCATTCTACTTCTCCATGTCTCATAAAAAGACATAGTAGCTGGAATTTTATTTTTTTTAAGTGGTCTGATTTGTACCTATTTAATAAAACTACAGAATTTGTCGAAGCGTGTTCGTTTTTTGAGATACAAGACAAACAGCTTCTCTCATTTAATGCTTTTTATTCTACAATGTAATAATGTGATCATTTTACTTGATCAAGGATCCAGCACTGGTTCAGAAAATCACAGGCAGCAAGCTGTTCATCTGTAACCAGCTTCCCCAGTAGTGGATGGAGTTTCATGAGAACACAAACATTTTATTAAGTATAGTGCAACGTGACTGGTAAACACACACATTTAACTCAAATAGTGCAATGTGATTGGCTACATGGTTGGGGAGAAGCCGCGGTTTAGACTTAACACAGATATGTCCATATCTCTTGGCACACGATTCATCCAATCCTCAGCAACCGCACCCTGTAAAAAGAACCTTCCCTACCAATATTTCCCGCTCTCTGACTGTCAGTACTTCTTTATTTGTTGTGTTGCAACTGCCACTGTCACTTCTTAGGGAGGTTAGTGTGCTTTGTCAGTACAAGGACAACTACATCAAAGCAGAAGTGGTATGTACCAGTGTGGTTAGTTTCATATTGCACCTAAATCAGAGCAAAACCATGCTATGTTCTGGTGTGTGCATATGAATGTGAGTGAGGATGTGTGTGTGTATGTATGAGTGTGTAGCTGTATTCCTTCTATCTGACCTGACATAGCCTTTATGGGTTCAGTCCTTCAGGGCCTGGCACTGATGCTTGAATCCTTCTATCCCTTTTTCAGCTCAGCATAACTCATAAATTAATTCACATTATATGGTGTCAATGTGTATGTTAAACTAGCAGTGCTGTTAGAAAACAATATATTCCAACAATGTCTAATGTCCTTTCCTTGTATTTCATGATCCAAACAGTCTTTTTTTTTTTTTATTAGTTTCACTCAGTAGTGTGGTTTCTTTGCAGAATTTTCCTCCATTAAGGTCTGATTCACAGTCAATGTCAAGATGTGCTTCCTGCTGCAACTCTGTGAAGCACTGGTGTGGGCTCTGATCAGAAATGCATGTAACTTGTGATTTCTAAGGCTGACAACTCTAATGAACGTGGGTAGGTGTCACAGCTCAGACACTGGGGGGAGCGCGCAGCCACGTGGGCGCGTCATATCAGCCTGCAGCATACTGCACTGTAACGAGGGACGGAGAGGGTTGAAGCCAACCAAGGCACTGGGTCCAGAGGGTGTGTGTGTGTATGCCCATGGACTTCAGACTCAACATTGTCTCTGCCGTCTGATGCAGGTGACGAGACACGGCCGTTGCCATGGAGACAACCTCAAAGAGTTCTGATCCAGAAACAAAGTTCACAGGAGAAGGAGAGGGGTGAGGAGGGGCCAAGCATCTGTCTGCATAACATCCAGGAGAAGTGGAGAGATATCAGCCTTCCAAGGCCGAAGTGGGGGAGCCGAATGAAAATAAAGAAAACTGTTTTGGGTCAAGCTGACTCTGCAATTTACCGTCAGTCTTAAAGTCCCACTGGTTCTCTCTGTGATCCAAAACATTAACAAAAACACATTAAGAAGGAAGAAGAAATTCCACAAAATAATTTTCGATACAGTAGGTGTGAACTGAAATCCATTCCAGGTGTCAAGGAGCAAAGAGGCAGGTCAAATATTATAGTGTGCAATTCTGTCATCATAGTGTGGCGAGGTGGACTATATGGAGGATTTGAAATGACGCCGGACAACGCCACCTGGGGAATTGCACCCCAGGAAATACTAATTGTGCTGTCTTATGTTTGAAAAGTGGATAACAAGGCACACAGATTCAATACTGGGAGGCAGAGACGTGTTTGCAAAAGTAAATCAAAAGTTTTTATTAATACTAAAAAAAACAGAATAAACAGGGTTGACTTGGGCTGCTGCAAAAAAAGGGAGTTAAATGACACATTAAAAAGAAACAAAATGGGTGAAAAATATTACTTTATTAGAACAAGCTAAAAATATCTTAATAGGACTTTTAAAAGAAAGGAACACTCGATTTAAAAGCAAATTTAAAACCCAGCCCACAGAAGACTACCAAAAACAAATAACTGAGCAGAAGTCACTTGTGGAGAGGCAGACTACAAAGAGGAGTGTCCAGGGGTGCCACCTATGCTCATCTGGGTGCAACACAACAAGTCTCACAGCAAAATGGTGCAATCTATGTCATGTCCCTGTGCAGTTACTCACATGCAAAAAGAAAGTGAAGGGACCTCACCACGGGTGCCTAGTCTCTCCACCAAGTGGCACTCTGCTCTGAAAAGAAAAGAACTAAAAAGAATAAGAAACAAAGCAAAGAAAACTAAACAGGCAGGCAAAACAGCAGCGGTTAAAATGCAGGAGAACCTGGAAAAAGGGGAAAAGTTATCAGCCAGGCTCAACCTACATATACATTAAAATGCATTTTAAAAATCATTCTACTCACCACCTCTTGTGGGCCATTAACAAAGTCACTGGTCTAGCAGACGGTCAAAATGGCTCTATAGGCGACCAAAACTTCAAACAAACGCATTGTTTACATTAATATGCAGTTACTTCAAAGAAGAGCGTGCATATGAAGCAGCTCTTTCCTACCTGGGCATCAAACGCTTCCAGCCACAGCAGGGACAGAGTTCAGAAAGCAGAGAGAGAGAACAAAGAGAAGCACCTGACCTAAATATCCTGCTCTGATTAGGTGATTGGCCAACAGGTGAGTCAGGCCAGGGCTGCATTCACCTGCAGCTGCAGTGTTCCCCACCACAATCGCAATGATAAATCTGAAATATGAAACATATTGTGCTTTTTTTTTCACTTTTTCTCACTAGATAATTGCATTTAATAGCTGCAATGACTTCACTATTGTCATACATTGAATACAGCAACAAAAGGAAAGGGCTATTTTTATCATGTAAGATGTAAATTAAAGTGTGATTGGAAAATGTATATCAGAACAGTGAAAAAGAAAAAAATATATACAGAAATAACACCATAAAGTCTCTTTACTGGACTGGGCGAGCCGGAAACTGGGCACCGGTGGTGAAATGATAGGACACTTTTAGCACAGTTGTCACCACGGACATAGTATATTTTGAACTATTTATGATACTATTTAGTGTAGAATGTCTCGTACTGTTTAGCTACTTTTCATTTTGCTTCCCTGATATTGTAATTTATAAATATCACGCTGCTATTCTGGAAAATTTCGAACTGGAAGTGACCTTAACAGAGTTTACATATATGCGTAAAAAAATAAAATATTTTTCAGAGGCTCTGACACTAGCCTAACACAGTAACTATTTTTCAAGTCATTAAATGGTTTTTTAAAAGCGTGTCTACTTGTTTCCGTCGGTGTTATTTTGCCTGCTTCCGGGGTGTGCTTTGGCCCCGCCCACTGAGGTATTTACAGAAAAATGGCGGCGCAAGCAGACCGAGGTGTCCCACTGAGTACGGTACGTGAAGTTTACTCGTTGTTTTAGGAGTTTTTCTGAGTATATTATGGCGTAAACGGCATGAGCCACGAAAAACAGCCTCTAAATTCTGTTATTATGAGCACAAAAGGTTAAATGCGTCTATACAGGACCCACTCCGACCCAGTGCTACGCTGACTGCATACGGACACTAGTAAACTCTGATCACAATGCATTGTGTTTACCTGTTACTTAAGTGACAACTGGGACGTTAGTGAACGACAACAACAACACGATAATGTCTAGCAATGAAAATAGCAGCAGTGCTGAGCACTGCTGCAAGAAACGGCTCTGACTGCGGTTTGAATCAAGGCTAAAGCTAAGTTTCGTTTTCCTGTTGTTACTCCACCGCTATAAGCTGGTAACGGCAGCCTGGCTGACCCAAATTTCACACCACACTGTCAGCACATTTTATTGTGATTGCGATTTGTATTTAAGAAACAAATTGGGGTCTTACATCAATCAAAATGTGTATTTGAAGCACTAGTTCTCCTTTTCGGTAGGGTTAGGGAGGTGTTTTCCCTAAACGTGCAACGTGGTAATGCTCCTTCACATGTTTCAGTCTATTACACAGCGAAAATGAAGCTGAATATTTCAAAACATTGGACTGGAAATGAAATCAAAATGTCTGTTGTTGTCACAGATGACGAACATTTCAATTTCCCTCCACAAAACATGGGCTGGTGTGTGCACAGCCATGCGGAGTTAGGTTTTGCCATGTGACTGGGGGGCTTTGTTACATGTCACCACCCCCTCACATTTTTCTTTCTTCCCACACTTTGGGTCTGTTTTTATAATGAAGTAAGGGGAAAAAAAGGAAAAACTGCCTCAAAATAAAAAGTCAGAGTAAGCACCATCATTGAACAGATTAGCAGCTATAGTTTTTGTTTATATATCAGTAAAAATGACATTCATTCATTCAAAAAAAAAGACTTCCACATATGTTTTCAGGTTGATCCCATTCCGCTTATTCTGTGATTTCGTAAAACAAAAGCAAGTCTCATTTTATTTGTTTGTTTTATTTGCATACAATAGTACTCTTCTAGAAATAACGTCTCCTTGCTGTCAACTTCTCTGCATGTGACACACTCATCTGTTGGTGACTCATAACTGGGTTGTAAAACTACTAGACTTCTGTTGACTATTTGTGTGCTTAGAACAAGTCTTAACAATACCATCCAAACAAATATTTGTCTTTGTGTGACATCTGATGCACCAGCCCTAATCAGAGAGATCAGGCAGGTTCTGTTTGCTTGAGTCATATGATTTTATTTGCTATTCACATGACGACTGAGCACTGTCAGAAAGAGAGATGCAGAGTCACAAGAGCAACACGTCAACTATTCTATTGTATATGACAGTTTACTCTTTGCAATGTACATTTTATGTCAGTTATATAACCAAGCAGTGACGTTAAACATGTAACACATTTTGTAGATATCTTCACACTTACTATACAGTACAGCGTAGTGCAACATAATAAGTCAGTTTGAATAGATCAATGTATGCAATTACACCATTTGGTTATGAAGTATAACTGTTGTGTAAACTTGTATTTGGTCCACTTGCAGCTTGCACCTAAGTTTCTGCATACCAACTCCACCAGCCACACCTGGCCCTTCAGCGCCATCGCTGAGCTCATAGGTGAGTCATCTTCATGTTGTCGTGTTTTCATTGTCCTAGTTAGTTTCGGCTTTACTAGATAGTTGTGCTTCCCCCAAGTCATTCTTGATTAATCTAGTTATGTTTAAATTCAATTTAATTGTAACCTCATGTAATCAAAACTGATTTCTTTGAAATTGAACATTGTTGGCATACTTTTTTTTTTCTTCATAAAGGCCTGATTTAGTAATTGATTTATAGAGAGATTTAGTGATGTTGTGTTTGTAGTGATCACAAATTGTACTTCAGGACAAAATTAAAACCAAAAGTGCTGCCCTTAACATTGTTTATTTGGATATCCAATGTGGCCTCATTCCTTATTTATATATGCTTAGTCACTGGTCTCTCTTGTGAAAGCTTTTGAAATGGCGATGAGCTGAGCTGGATGCCGTAAACACAGCTGATGCCTTACTAGAATGCTGAAGCAGCCATTAAAATTGAATCAAATGAGAACAGTGGCCTGCCTGTGTAGCAAGGACCTCAGCACAACCTTCTTAATCTAAATCCCACTAAGAGCTAGCAGTGGGTTTGAATAATTCTCTCGAGGGACTTGATCCCTCCAGGGAGGATGTGAGTTCAGATACCTCCAGGAACTGCTGAGTGACCTTCTCACCTCCCACAATGAAAATGTCAGGATCAACATGGCCCAGATAGGCTCCTTCTTAAATCTAGGAGAGGCTGATATTTTGACATGATGACAAAGTTAACCACCTAACAATCTCATGCATCATCTTGTCATGGACTACACTATATCATGGAATAGATATTTAAGTTTCTTTCAAGAGACTGACATACTTTTCACATCAGAACAAAGAAAAATTATCAGAATTAAACAGTTTTATTGTAGTTTTTGTGAACCTCCGCCTTTCTTGTTTTTTCACCTGTCTTCACTGAATGTTCTGTGCAAGACAAGTCAATACGAAACATTTTGTAATTGTAGTCAAATATTCACCTATTTTGCCTACATTTTGCATGAAATACCCTCCCACCCCGATGACCTTATTTGATATGCACACTGCTTACATCTGGGGCAGAATGCATCTTAAAAAACTGGCTTGTAAATCTGGCTCCTTGTACACCTCTAAATCAGTGCAATTTTAAAAATGTTGGACAGATTTCAAATGCTCTCTAAACCTTTTTACTTTGACAGACAATGCCTACGATCCAGATGTCAGCGCCAAACAGTTTTGGATCGATAAGACTGTGGTCAAAGGAGAAGAGTGCCTCAGCTTTATGGATAATGGAAATGGACTGGACCGTGAAACCATGCACAAGATGCTCAGGTACAAATGCAACTACATGTTATTTCCCAAAACCAGAAAATCACTTTGATATTTGAAGCACTTTGTACGTTTTTGAATTAGGAAAATATAATTTGTCATTTCAATATCTGTTGCTCACAGTCTGTTACTGTAAAACCCACAACAAAAAAACGCTGCATGTAAGCTGTTTAAAAAGTCACATTTTGCAAGGATTAAGGTCTTATTATTAATTACAACTGACACTTTATATATTATGTTTACATTTCCCCTCCTAAAGCTTTGGGTACAGCGACAAGATAGCTGTGAATGGCCAGGAGCCAATTGGAATCTATGGCAACGGCTTCAAGTCTGGATCCATGCGTCTTGGCAAAGATGCCATCGTCTTTTCCAGATCGAGGAGCACCTCCTGTGTTGGGATGCTCTCTCAGACCTACCTGAAAAAGATTAATGCCCAGCAGATAGTTGTTCCTATTGTTTGCTTTGAAGAGTGTGGAACAAACAAATATATCCTTTATTGACTGCATTAATGCACATCATACATGTATTTATTCTGAAACTCTCATGTGCAGTCAGCTAAGATGGGCACAGGAGAGTTTTTGTGTAACCTAGCCTGTGATGTTTGGAGCTTGCCAATATCATGATCTAATAATCTTATTATTGTTGTGTCTAAATACAAAAAAGGCCTACATGCTGTTATTATTTATCTGAAAATGGGTTATATGGGCTGGATGAAAAGTTGTGTTTCTGTTCTTTTTTTTTCGGTGAGGTAGGGGCGCATTTAGCTCAATCCTTCGTCATATTTCCATTTGTCCTAATTTTTCATTGCAAACGTCCTTAACTTATCTTTACTCTTTGTAAGAGATGAGCACAAAGCCAGTCTGCAAGATATTCTGCGCTATTCCCCTTTCAACACACAAGGCGAACTGCTGGCCGAGATTAACGTCATCGCTTCGCCCTATTCCAAAGAGAGAACTGGCACACGGATCATCATCTGGAATCTTCGCAGGTCTGTCTGAGGTCCTCCTATACAGATGTGTACACTATTTGTTTGACTTCAGAGGGCTTGTGCTGTGGCCAATAGGAACATGTTAACTGCATAGTGTCACAGCTCTAATGAGAACTTCTGATTTGTAGAATAATCAGTCAAGGAAAATATCAACAAATGTAGTCGTAGTGAAGTTTGAAAGTTAAAAAAACACAGCCACAGAAATAGATCCATGATTCCAAATAGTTGCAGTATATATAGTCAAGGTCAGGGATCTCCAACTCCGGTCCTCATGAGCTACTGTCCTGTAGGTTTTAGATGTTTCCATGCTGCAGTACACCTGACTCAAATGAATGGATCTCCAACAGCTTGTTGTCAAATTTTACTCAAGTCTGTTAATGATCCATTACTTTGAGTCAGGTGTGTTGTAGCATAGAAACATCTAAAACCTGCAGGACAGTTGCTTACAAGGACCAGAGTTAGAGATCCCTGGTCTAGGTCTTAATCATGTGTCCTTTACTGCCTGTACTGGACTGCCTCAGTCTCTCTTCAGTGCAATACACAGCAGTAAATTTCCTCCTTGCAGTTCAGCATTATACAACATGAGCATTAACACTTTAATACATGAGAGATTTCCCACAGCAGGCAGCTACATGTTGATATCATAAATGCAAGAAGTGTTCTAACATACCGTAAATTCTGGACTATAAGCCGCTACGTTTTCCACACACTTTGAACACTGCGGCCTAAGCAATGATGCGGCTAATTTATGGATTTTTACGAGTTTTACAAATTTGTCTCGAGACGAAAGTGACATTGAGAGCGACAACAAAAGAGAGACTGAGGAAGTGTGTGACGAAGTAATTCTGAGGCTGTTCAATTCCGACACTGACGAAGACAACTTTAGTGGTTTTAGTGCAGGAGGAAGATGAAGATAGTGATCAGTGACTTTCCCTGGTAGGCGACTGTATTTTTAAATTTTTTTTAACCAGCCGTTTTACAGGCACTGTTTGGGAAAAAAAGCATTTAGTGAGTGCGGCTTATATTCAATAGTCCGGAATTTACGGTACAATCTAATGGTGAAGGTGCATCCTACATAACTGTGTCACTCCCACCTACATTCCAGTTTGAGTTCTTTGCCTGTGAACCTTTGATTCCATGTCACACCTGACTCTCCCAGCCCTTGTGTCCTGACTGTCTCCGAACTGTCAATTGCTAAGTAATGATAAATCATCTCAACTGTTTGTGTTTGTTTTTTTTATCAGAACATCTTCAGGAACAACAGAGTTTGATTTTGAGAAGGACAAGTACGACATCCGAATTCCATCTGAGGTCTACGAGACGATGAATGATCCGTCTCAGCATCCAGACAGGGTCACATCGTACATCCCAGAGAGCATGTACTCTCTGCGGGTAAGAAGCAGTAATCTGATATTCTTTCTTTTAATAATTAAGAATGAGTTTATTAAGGCGTTATTTCTCCACACAAATGCGTAAAAATTTTGAAGTTCTTTTCCAGATAAAAATTAGTTTCCCTTATCGTTCCTTCAATAAGATGTTTGACCTTTAGTTTACAGACTGATGTCTATGCAAAGCTTGACTCTCAAAGGATATTTTTACACCCATCTGCTGAAAGGAGGAAGTTTCTCAGTGCTGTCCATTATTATCATGAGTGTAATTTTGTGACATTGCAACTGGCTTGGATGCAATTTAAACAACTGGAATTATTAAGTGAAGTTGGAGACTTAGTGTGTCCCGCAACTAACTTTAGAAATTCAATCATTGCATATTTGCGTATTGTAGACTTTTCAGTGAGCAAGAATGATAGGGAAAGGACCTCATCGGTCACAAATTACAGCCATATGCCTGGAGGAAGTCAACATTTCCTTTGATTACATGTATAAATAAACATCTGTGTTTTTAATGGTTTTAGGCGTACTGCAGTATTCTGTATCTGAAGCCCCGGATGCAGGTCGTGGTACGAAGTCTAAAGGTGAAAACTCAGCTCATCGCTAAGAGTCTGGCCTTTATCAGCAAGGACCACTACAAGCCCATCTTTCTGGTATCCTTTTGTCACAGGTTCTCTAGAGATGTGCAGTTTTGTTAAACCTTTCCTGATTGTTCCTTTTTTGATTTCTTATTTATGTTTGTTTTGGTGGTTTCGAATTTTCCTTATATATGATTTTAGAGCAAACGCATCCCTATAACTTTTGGGTATAACACCAAAAGTAAGGACCAGTATGGTATAATGATGTATCACAAGAATCGGCTCATCAAAGCCTATGAACGCGTGGGCTGCCAGCTTAAGGTGAGTTATTGCTGTTTAGGAGAATTTGTTTATTCTGTGTTTTTTTAGGGGTTTTTAAATGTCATCATCTGGTGAATCTGTGTATTCTGCAGGCTGACAACAGAGGAGTTGGAGTCATTGGGGTCATAGAATGTAATTTTCTGGATCCTACCCACAACAAACAGAGCTTTATTGAGTCAGATAAGTACAGGTAATGGTATCATTGCTGCATTTAGTGGTGATCATAAAAGTCTAAATGAGTTGTTTGGATGTTTGACACACAAAAATATTTCATAGACCTGTTCATAATCCCAGATTCCTAGAAGTCTAACATGCCTAATTTCTTTGTACAGGAAAACCATGAACAATTTGGGGATCAAACTGGAGGAGTACTGGAAAGAAATTCGCTACCGCAAGAACAAAGAAAATCCAAACAGCACCATACCAGTGGAGGATACCATGTTAGTGCAATTTTAGTCACAGACATTATGTGTTGTACACGTATATTTGTTTAACCATGCTGACTCTTCCTCAGGAAGCGACCAGATCAAAACTGGGTGCAGTGTGATGACTGTTTGCAGTGGCGCAAACTCCCTGATGGAATTGACTGCAACAAGCTGCCAGAAAAATGGTTCTGCCGTATGAACCCTGATCCTCAATTTAGGTAAGGAGAGCATTACTACTGAACTTGATGCAGATGGGAGAAAATAACAAATACCTATGGATAAAGGAAGTCACATACCTTGAGGGATTGAGCAGCTAGTGGACTTACCTTGACATTCACATGAAGTTGCCCATTAAGTCAGTTTGACTTGCCACTGTAGTTTCACCTAAGCAGGTGTGTTTTAGAGATATGGTAACTCAAGCTGCTGGGTTTATGCCCTTTGCTTGGGTGAGAGAAGGATTCAAGGGTAGATTAAAGGTACATTAAGTCTGGGTCAGAGATTGGTCCTGCTTGTCAGAGGGCTCCCACTGCAGAGCCTAACAATCGGCTCAAACACCTGATTACAATGAATACTGGGTTCTAATAGGAATGCTCACCCAACCTTTATCACGTTTCATTGTGTATTGATAAGTGCAAGAACCAGTAGTCATGTCCAAAGCACAGACACATCATAGATATGAAGGCAAGTCTAACCAGAACAATGTAATTTGTGTTTACAGGAGCTGCCAGGTAGAGGAGGAGCCTGAGGACTCTGATGATGACCAGCCTTCATACAGCAAGACATATAAACGACAGTGAGTCACACATTTCCATTAAACACTCCTGGCAGGTGTAATTAAATTGTTGCAATCAATAAGTATGATACTAAACTCAAACATAAATGAGGTGACTGGATGCAGGTCTGAGTCTTCACCTTTGAGATTTATTTGTTACAGAGAGAGGGAGGACAAAAAGAAACAAGAAATGGCAAGACAAAAGGTAAGGACGCATCATGTGCTGTGCCAGTTTTCATTCTGCCGTTGATGTTTCTACATTAGGTACATGTAGCACTTCAGTGTGATTATATATACATTGATAAGTTACTGACAATATTGATTTAGAACTCCCAAATCATTAACACACTATTAATTGGGTTTTTGGGTATATTTTTGTCAAGGCTGAGGAGGATCGAAGGCGCCGGGAAGAGCAGCACAATGCGGCTCTCCGACGGCGAGAGCAAAACCAGCAGCAACGTCAGAGAGTATGTATGTTTTAAACTAAGGAGGCTGCGAATGATGGCTACACTAGATTATTTTAGACTTAACACAATGATTGTGTTTACATCCTCATCATTGTTTTGATGATTATAGATGCTATTTAGGAATATTAAAGTAAAAAAAACTTCTCTCTGTCTCTGTTTTCTTGTTGACAGACTGTCCATTCCCCTTCTACTCCAACTACCCCGAGGAATAGGGCGCTGCAAGGGGGTGCTGCAAGGGCTGAATTCTCTCATCTGAGCTCCACCATCATTTCACAAGCTGGTAGGGTAAATCGTTGTTTGTGTGTGAGTTATGAAAAACAAATTTAAAAGTTGAAATTGAAAATGTTGTGTATTATTTCCCGCAGCCTGCAGCCCCTCCAGTAGCAGTGGTCTTCCAATTATTACTAATGTATGCTCACTGTCACCAGCCACTATGAGGTATGATTTTGTGTTGTTTGTAAGCTTTAATATATAACTTTTAGTTCACTAAAGTTGTGTATTAACTTTGATTTTTGTGTGCGCTGCAGCGGGAAAAGGACACATCCTGTTACTCCACAAAGTACGCCTAAAAGACCGAGAGTAAATGGCATCCATGGGAGCACCTTAGATACACCCTCATCAGTAGATGCCACCCCCCTGAGTTCTCCATCTGTGCCTGTTGATAGTGATGATGAAACTGATGATGAAATTGTCATCTTGGAGACAGCTAGCACCCCCAAGCCGAAACAGCCAGTTTTGGATATTAGTAAAGTGAAGAAAGAGGAGGACGAAAGCAGCGATAGTGTCAGCATGTTGTCACATTTTAGTAGTAATGCTAAAGTGGATGTCACCTCAAAAACAAATGGCTCTGCAGGGTCTGCAGCTGTGGGAACCAGTTCCTCACAAGTGTCCTCTGCAGAAATGTCGAGCATCACCACCCAGACAGAATCACCCAACATAAAGCAGGAAGTGGAGGAGAGAGCCTCACAGCATATGGGTAATAACAGTGGTAAAAAACAGAGTTCAGATTTAGATGCTTCCGGTGTTGAGCAAAGAGTTTTTAAGCAAGAGTGCAGTGAAGGCACTCAAAGTGAGAATCAAGGAACACAGACCTTGAAGAATGAACTGGCACACCACCTGCAAAGTGATGAAAATGCCGGACCTTCCTCTGCAGATGCCCATGACCAAGAAACACTTAACTGCCTCAGTGCTGCCGAAGTACAGGAACAACAAGACCAGCTCATGGGGCTCATGCAGGACACTGCTCAGGAGAGAGACTCTCTGAAAGAGCAGGTCCAGAGACTTACCTCTGAGTTAGAAGCTGTGCAGAGCAGACTGCAGGAGCTGTCTCACATCAATGTAAAGGCGTGTTCTCACCAAGCCAGTCAGACAGAATTAACAGAGGGGGAGAAGGACTACAAATGTCTGTTTGAGAAGGCCAAACAAAAAGTCAATGAATTGATTAAGGACAAAGAGGCTTTAATTGCAGCTACTGAGACAAAGGCAAATTGCAGCACCGCCCAAGGGGAGGACGATGACATTGATGAGATTGCACTGCAAGTTGACTCTTTGATCCGGGAGCTGGATCAAAGCAACAAGGAGAAGGAAGAACTACGCTCACAGGTCAGTGTCCCAGCTTTGATTTGACTTCAATGTGACTACATGTAGGGGCCTATTTTGATGTAATACATGCTAGTGTGGGCTGCACAGTGGCTCGGTTGTGAGCACCGTTGCCTCAAAGCTAGAAGACCTCGCGCCCCAGTTAGGACACCTGGGATCTTTTCTGAGTGAAGTTTGCATGTTCTCCCCGTGCAGTGTGGATTCTCACCGGGTTCTCCGGCTTCCTCCCACAGTCCAGAAACATGCTGAGGTTAATCGATGATTCTAAATTGTCCGTAGGTGTGAATGTGAGTGTGCTTGGTTGTCTCTATGTGTAACCCTGCGATAGACTGGTGACCTGTCAAGGATGTCCAATGCCTAGTTAGTTTTCAACCACAGTTTACAGCCTTCTTCAACAAATGGAGGTGGCTCAGATGTTATCATGTGACTTGAATGTGGAATTTACAGAACTGAATACCATGTGATGCAAATAAAAGCACTGAAAGGCTACAGAGCAGACTTTTGAAATGGGATTCTTTTCTTACACATTTCCAAGTCAGCTTTAAATGTGCCTCTCAAACACTTGCTGTGACTGTGAATAGATTTTTACGCCACAACACTCATGAACAACCCATCCAAACAAGATATGACATATAAGATGACAAGTCAGTCAAAATGTGAGGGACAATGAGTTACTGTGGTTGGATATTAACATTTAGTTAAAAGCATATGTGGATTTTTGAATATTTTTTTTAGCCTTCTTTGTTGACTTGCTGACTCTCCTTCCATTATTTTCTCTCCCCCTCGGGTTCACTATGGGCGCCGCCACCAGTTGGACAGTCTGGAGGAGGAGAAAGCAAACCTGGCAGCACAGTGTGAAGAGCTCAAGTTGAATCTACAGCAGCAGAGGGAGAATGTGCCGACACCACCAAGAAACAATGATTCTTCTGATCACACACGTCAAGAAGAAGCAGGAGGGCCGGCGGACTCTGGCACACATTCAAGCGCATTCAGGAGGTTGGACTGCTGAGAAATCACGTCTCTCACATGTTGACGTATCGCTTACACAAAGCCATTCAGCAGCTCAATTCATCGGAACAGTTATGTAAATCTGAATTTTCCCCTCTCTCCCTTTCTCTTAGCTTGCTGGAGCTTCGGCAGAATGTCGGGCGCCTTCTCATCACTTACGTGCCTGCGCTGGACCTGGAGCAAGTGAATTATGAGTGTAATGTCATTGATGAAATCCTAGAGCAGGTTCTCACTGATAGGGATTCTTCTATAGTTGCGGGGCTGAGTGATGATGGTGGAAGTGAATAAAAAAAATCATCAGATCATTGATTTAGGTGCAGTCTACTGAGGGTAAGAAATTAGGTTGTATTTATTTGGGCATGTGTACATGTTTACAGATTTTTTTTAATATGGATTTGCAGTAAATTCAAAATGATGAGCTTCTTTGTGCTATTTATTTAAAAACGATAAAGCTATTATCATAGCAGCATTTTGAATAAATAGTATAAGTCAGACATTTTCCCAATTAAGTTTAGGCAGAGTCCGGAAAGTAACCCATTTGTTAGCAGTTGTTGTTTGTGTTTCTAGCTTTTCAAACCAGCTGCATCTAATTATGATTCTGTTTCACAATGACAGCTGTTTGTTGTACCCTTTGCGGATATTTTGTACATATTCTGTCAAATATATTTTTTTATTCCCTCTTAGTGTTCAGTGATTAAGTGCTTTATGACACATTGTCAGTGGTGTTCTTGTCAACATTTCAAGACGTCCAGTGTGTTTCTAAGTGATGCTAACTGTATCTTAACACGAAATCTGAAATGTTCCTGCACATAAATTGGTCTTCCTCTCTTGGCTGAAAAGATTTTGTCTAAACACCCAGTTTCAGTATCTAATCAGTAGCAGATGTAGCCATGTTTTTTTTAAATTGCGCTGTTTGCAATTTAGTTATGGGATTTTTTTTGGAGGTGTATATAATGGTAAGCTTTGTTTATTCAGGAACATCAACATTTCTTTTCACACCTTAGCCACAGCCAACATGTTCCACATATGTAGACATAAAATGTAAACTTCAACTAATATTTAAAAAATAACAAGGAAATTATTTCCACTGAAGTTGTTTATTGAAATAAATCTCAGAGTTGTTAAGTTAAAGTTAAATTGTCCTCTAACATCATGGCTGTTTATTTCAAATTGAATGTGTCTTACGACCGGAGCAGCAGCATGACCGATCTCAGAATGTCACTGGATCTAACAGAATCATTGTATTTTTCCTTAGAACAACAGCTCCCTTGTACAATTCATTCCTGGGGCACTACAGTAACAAAATACACAGATTATGTATTTTATTTCCCTTTCCAGCACATTTCACATAATTTCAAAAAGTTCACATTAAACATTAATGCACTGTGAATGCATTATTCCATTTTACATCATGTGCTTTACGGCTTGTATACATGCTGTATCAGTGAGGACTGTTATTTTGTATCAGTGATGTATGAATAGATCATTTTCGTTGAAGAAGTAATTTAATGAGTTTTCTACAACACAAAAATTACTTGCTGTAAGTAAAAGGTTTCAGGTTTTCAGCTTAACATGCAGTGGTTGAAAGTAATAAGGTACTTTTATTAATGCAATGTGCTTGCATAATTCCATTACCTGTTTCTTTACACTTTACTTTTTAAAAGGCAAGTGTTGTACTATTTAGTTTATTGCATGTATTCACCAATTTTCTTTTCACACCAAGCTTGAAATAAGGCACATTTTTATTTATTAAACCAGGGGCTTGTGACCCAATGAACAAAACTGTTGGTTTGGGACCCTTTGTCATGCTTTAGTCACTAATTATACAAAATGTAATTATCAAATACCTTATGACGCACAGATATCTTTACCAGCTGCAACATTAAAGCAATCCTTATGAATCCACAGTCATAATCCATTAATATAATACATGTTAGAAATTAAAAGTTATACTTTTTTTGGAACTAAAAAAAAGTGTTACACACGTACACAAAAAGCGCCCACACCCACAAAAAAAAAATAAAAAAAAAAAAAAAAAAGAAAGAACAGCTTAGAAGAATAATACCACCAGGACTACAGTAAATTATTACAAAACAAAAAAAAAGAACACCAAGAAGAAGCGGAGGAGAAGACAGCACAAAAAAAAGGAACAACAGGCCGCCGCTACAAGAACCCCCCCTAAAACAAAAATAACACTCCGATTGGCTCTTCCGGTTTCTCACTAACGTACATATGATTGGCTCTCCCTGCTGTCACTCCATCTGCTTGCAAAAGCTACTTGCTACCTGTTGGACAGGACAGAAGGCAGTGCACGTATCTGCAACAGCAGTGTAAGTAGGGAGGGCAACCGAGAAATGTACACGGAAAGCAACATGAATATTATGATTAGTGGTGTTATTTGCATTTGTATTTGTATGTGCGTGCGTGTGTGTGTGTGTGTGTGTGTGTGTGTGTGTGTGTTTGGTAATTAGGATTTGAAGGATGTCAAAGAAAAGCAAACTGGACATAAGACACTTCTTTAGGACTCAAACTGTTCTTCAAGGGTTTATAACTGTAGAGGCTCAATGATACAGATATTGAATAAAACTAAATATTTAATGCCAAAGAGATACACTTTTTAAAGCTATTTTTACTCATTATTTTTCATGCATTTGTGTGGAAGAGAGCAACTGTTTTCAAAAAAAAAAAGAAAAGAAAATTTGTGGGGAAAAAATTCAACAAAACTTGATATTCTAGATGATCATGTGATTTTATACATCCATGTTTTTGGGGAATAAAGTACACATTTCAGAAAGCATTAAATTCTTTTGTTCTCTTTAGATTTTCAGATATACACTATAAACATGTCAATTACTGATTTATTTTTCTGACTGATTGTTTGCTTGTTTGATCAGCTCTACATGATGTGAAATAATGATTGCAAATACAAAAAAAAGGCCAACTTTCAGGAGTGCTGCCTTGGAGCACTTTTGTGTCCCCACCAATGTCAAAATCAAGCCTACTCTCTTGCCAGGCAGAGCTGAGTGTGAAATGATGGAATTGTTATCAATGAACATATTTGCAAAAAATTCAAGTGTACCTGTTCAGTGAGGCTGACCTCAAAAACACATAAAAAAATTTGATTACCCTTTAAAGTACATCATTTATTCTTTATTTTTATGACATATGGTAAAGCCATGATCTTAAGAAAGACAACTTTGGAAAACAGACACTGACAAATAACTCAAGTAAGTTAACGTACCATAGTTCCCCAGAGCTTTCAACCACACTGTACAGTTTTCAACAGTGGATAGTGCTCGTTCAGTTGGCACTTGATGGTGAATCTGCTCATGCTAAGAGACTCACCACTAATACAGATCATAACATTTAATCAAAAAAGCCCTAGGAGAAAGCTAGTAAGTGAACCAGGAGTTTTTTCTCCAGATATATGATATCCATTTTTAAACACATCTTTGCCTCACAACTCCAAACTCATGTACACCAAAAAAAAAAATGAAGATGTGATCTTACAGGACTTCAGAATCTTTATGCTTTTCCAAATATGGGCCAGTCATAGCTGTACCCACACAGACAGAAGTGGCCATTGTTGTGAATCATTTTAATTACATTTCTCTGAGTTGCCTTTTCTTCTGTACAATGTGTTGTAGTCGTCACTGATGCTTTTGTAAGCCAGCATCAAGACTCAAATGGCTTTTGTGAAGCTGTTGAATGAATCAGCAAGTGAACTGAGGCCCTGTCACACAGCTAAATAAAAGTGCTGTCACAGAAAAAAAAGAAAACAAAAGAAATGATAACGTGATAGTGACATAGTGACATTTTGAGAACTTGAAATGTATCATTTTTGACAGTATCCAGAAACGTCACCGTTATTCTCCTCCTCTTCCGGGATTTCGTCCAATCACTGAAGTGGACTCGAGCGGAAGTTTTGAATGAGTCGTACGCGGGAATTTACCATTTACAGCTGGACAGCGTAGAAGGTAAAATACTGCAACTTGCTTCTACATTACTTCAGTTTGACGAATAAACAGACGTACCCCTTGTGTATTTGTCACGAACGCACTTGTTAGCTGATAGCAACACATTTTCCAGGATTTGGTGTTTGTCCACAGCGTTAGCCGCGAAGCATGCCAACAAACCGGCTAAGTTTACTGCTAACTGGATTAGCTAGCTTTAGCATTTGTTCTTGTGACAGTATATCCAGATGTGTTGTTTTTATCAAACTGTGTTGTTCTGCCGAAGCACAGGGGGTGTTTAAGCAGTTTGTGATAACTACTGAGCTGATATAAGTTCACTGAAAAATAAAACAAGTGTACAATATATGTGTTTTTATCTCCAGAGGTCGGTTTTGGATATTGAAAATTAGGGGGGAAAATGAAGGTGGTAACGTGTGAGATTGCATGGCACAACAAGGAGCCAGTCTACAGTTTGGACTTTCAGCACAGCTCAGATGGACGCATCCATCGACTGGCCACAGCTGGAGTGGACACCACAGTCAGAGTGAGTGGAGCCAATGAATACATCTGCTTTTGTTAATTTTAATGACCATGTGGTGTGAATCTGTGCACATGCATTTGTCCAGTAGAGAACCGTGTAACACAAAAGTCAACGCAAAAATGTTACTACACATATGTACAACAATTAGGCTGTAAGAAATATAATTAGACCACCTGTATTGGCAAATATTGAAGCATAAAGTAGCTTCTCTCGTGTCACAATAATGATGTCTTATGGTGGCAAGAAAAAATATGTGAACCCCTGTTGAATTGTATGTATTTCAACTTCAACTGGTAATAAAGTGTGTTTTATATGCATTTATTAATCCCACAGTGGAGACATGTGTAGGGTTAAAGCAACAATTGAGACATCAGTTGAAAAATAAAAAAAATAACAAGAAATATACATAAGTACTGATGGTGCACAGAGTCCTCTGAATGTGGAAAATAATGATATTGCACAGCGTTATTCCATATGTCACTGACACTGCACAGATTCTTCTATGAGTAGAAAAACACTGATATTACACAGATTCTTTTATTTGTAGGAAAAATGATAATATATTGTCTTTTTGATGTGTAGAACATTCATAACGCCCATGTTTGAATGCATTGACACTGCACCAGATTGAAATGTGTTTTTCAGTGTGTCTTCTACTGAGAGCAGTGCTGATTGTAAAGTTTGACAGCAGCAGGAAGGAAGACTCTGCAGTATCTCTACTTCACAAACTGTGGGTGAAGCAGCCTGTTACTGAAGGAGCTGCCCAGCGCTGTCAGTGTCAGGGGGTGGGACATGTTCTCCTTTAGAGCTGGCAGCTTAGCCATCATCCTCCTGTCTCCCACCTCTTCCACTGGGTCAAGAGGGCACCGCAGGACTGAGCTGATGTTCTTTACCAGCTTGTTGAGTGTCTTCCTGTCTGCTGCTGCCCCAGCATACTACTGTAGAAGATGGCTGATGCCACCATACAGTCAAAATAGTATATGGTGTCCTATGTGGCTGGACCTGTTTACCGAGTGTGTTTAATTGACCTTTTCTCCTGATGCTGATGCAGCTGTGGCGCGTGGACACAGGTCCAGATGGGAAGGCAGCGGTGGAGTTTCTGTCTAATCTGGCCAGACATACCAAGGCTGTCAACGTAGTACGCTTTAGCCCCAATGAAGAGCTGCTTGCTTCAGGAGGAGATGGTACGTCATATGCAATAAATAGAAGCTAGTTAAAATGTGTCTCTTTTTAAAATACGTTGGTGATATGTTCTCAAAACAGAGGAGCAATTTGAAAATAGATTGATTTCGAGTCATTTTTGTTTGTTTGTTTTTATTTGATACAGATGCAGCAATCCTGCTGTGGAAGCTCAATGACTCGAAGGAGCCTGAGCAGGCCCCTGTGTTCCAGGAAGATGATGATGCTCAGCTCAACAAGGAGAGCTGGTCCGTGGTCAAAACACTAAGGTAAACAAGAACAGGTAGTGCATGTGTCTAGTGTATTACTTATAGGAGCATTGTGTATTTCTGCTGCTCACTTTGCCGCTGCAGAGACGGAATAAATGATTCCCATCAGTAAAATATAAGAGTCATAGAATCCTATACCCCTATAAATCTTAGAAACAACTGCGCAATTCTGCTTCTGCTTTTAGGATCTCATTTTATCTTCTCACTGATATCTGTCCTGACTATCTTTGTTTGTTTAGACTTACTATGGTCAGGCAAATGAGACAGTTCTCATTTCAGCATTTTAAGATAATATTTAAATGTTCTGAACATAGGCGTCTGCTTGTTCTGGCATCTTTTAATGTTAAATAATGTGTTTTACAGTTTGTATTGTAATTGTAAATATCAGAACAACAAATCGTTATATTAACTCAGTGCAAACATTAGAATGCCTAACTTAAAACACTGAGGTCAAGCGAAGCCAATACAGTGTTTGATTTGATTTGCTGCAAGGGTGCAGTTTTACATAGAGATTTGCTATCATTTGATTGGTTTCCAGGGGGCACATAGAGGATGTGTATGACATCTGCTGGACACGAGATGGAAACTTCATGGTGTCTGGATCTGTTGACAACACTGCTATTATGTGGGACATCAACAAAGGTTTGTTTGTGATTATAGATCTGTGTGTGTGTGTGTGTTTTGCATAAGTGTATGTTTTATTTAATCAAGTTCTGAGTTGTATTATTTGTATTTATTATGTTGCTGCAACTGTTTTTACGTTTAGGACAGAAGCTGTGTATCCTGAATGACCACAAGAGCTACGTACAGGGTGTGACCTGGGATCCTCTGGGGCAATACATTGCCACTCTCAGCTGTGACAGGTAGAAAGTAGCTATGTTCAGTTTCAGCTTTACAAATCTTTGGGTCTAATCTTTATTTAAGTATTGTATTTGATGTTGCTTTACAGTGGCCTGATTCTGAAATGTTTTTGTCCTACAGGGTGATGCGTGTGTACAGCACTCACACGAAGAAGAAGGCCTTCTGTATCAGTAAAATGAGTTCTGGAGGGAATGCAGAAGGAGAGGTCAGTGGAAAAAAAAACTCTTGCTGTTGTCTTAGGTGCAGCAAAATCCCAAATTTAAGAACTTTTCCCCCCAGAATTCTGTATTTTGTCTGCAATTTGCTGGGTTTCTCTGAAATAAAATCATTAATTCTGAGCCTTTAAATATGCAAATCCCTCCTCAAACCTCCTACATTGAACCCTACTATCTTAATTTCTACCCTTTACATGGACCTTTTTAATGGTTTCCTCCTCAGCTTTCTATTCTCACTCTTGCTCCTGTCTTGACCACTTGTTCCCCAAAGCAAGTTTAATTCCTTATATGTGATCTTAAAAATATAAAACTGACCTTTTTGCTATCTTTAGATAGGTCTAATAGCTCTACCAAATTGCCCAGTGAGTGAAACATGTTCCATAAACGCTCACAGTGCTGTAACTATGTGCACCTTTGCAGGTCAAGCAGTACAGAATGTTCCATGATGACAGTATGAGGTCGTTCTTTCGCCGTCTCTCATTTACGCCTGATGGGTCATTCCTTCTTGCCCCAGGTATGCACACAGCATACTCAAAATGTGGCTTTTATCAGCAGAAATCTAATGTTGTTGTAACCAGTCAAACCTGTTTTCGCGAACCAAATTTCCTCCTCTGTTCTCATCTTTTTAAATCTCAGCTGGATGTGTGGAGATTGGAGAAAACATCATAAATACCACCTACATCTTTTCCAGGAAGGGTCTAAAGAGGTAGCTTTTCTGGCATGTTATAGCATTTACGAGTTATTCAGAGTCTTAATAACACTCCTAAGTGAAGTTCAAACCTCTGTCTGTGTCTTTCAGGCCAATCGCCCACTTGCCGTGTCCATCTAAAGCTACTCTGGCTGTGCGCTGCTGCCCTGTCTACTTTGAACTGAGGACCAAAAAGGGAGAAGGCAAGGGCATACAAACAAGACAGATTCTAAAAGCCTTTAACTCTGATTTGTTTGTAGCTCTTGTGTTTTCTTCTCTTGTACATGTTCTTCATTTTACACTATTTATCTCCAACAGACGGTTCTACCCAGGCTCTTCCCAATGTATTCCAGTTGCCGTATCGTATGGTGTTTGCGGTGGCCTCCGAAGACTCCATCTTCCTGTACGACACCCAGCAGACCCTTCCGTTCGGCCTCGTGTCCAACATCCACTATCACACACTCAGCGATCTCACATGGTAAACAAACACTTTCTTCTTATGTTGTCTTTTGTAGCTATTGTTTTTGTGGTACTGAAATGTGGTGGGTGTCCTGGAGTTTGATATTAATAGATAATACATTTATTTGTATAGAACTTTTCAAATAAAAGGAGGAGCAAAGGTCCTCAGTGAGCGGTAAGACACGAATATGTACATACAAAAAGAGTGTAGTATATTATATTTAAAGTGAAGTGCGATAATTTACAATCAAAGGGCCGTAATTTTGATTTGACATGGAAAGTGTGGATGGTGTTTGATCAAAGATGTAGGTCAATTTCTGTATTTTCACTTTTTTCACAAGCTTTAATGTATCGAAGGTGGCTAACAAACAACAAATATGGTGGTCGATCAATATAGTTTTTTTTTTTTTTTTTCAGGACCAATCTGATTATTAGTCATCAAGGTGACTGATAACTGATATTTAGAACCAGTGTACACTTGCAGGAAAAATGGAAATGTTGCTGTCAAAATTTAGAATAACACAAAACACCGACACAAAACTTCAGTGAAATGTCTTTGTATGTTTCTATTAAGTTAAAAGAGAACTTTTCAACATTTATCCTTCAGCATCAGTTGGCTAATACTCATGACATATAGGCAACACATCAGAGATAAAGATCCAAGCCAAAATAGTGCATATTCAAATTCATGTATTTTGTTAGGAAATTATTTAAATAAGCACACAGGTAGTCGCACAACACTGAATATCAGATCAGGCAGGCCGACAGTTGGTTGGCCCTTAGCAACCAGTAATGGAAAATTAAAAAAAACAAAACAAATAAAAACCAGCAATGAGTATCATGAGATACATACAGAATCACACAGAAGTACAAAGGCTGACGCCAAGGCTGCTGCCATTGTCACCAAAAACCATCACTGAAAGAAAAACAGAAAGCAGGGGGCACTGTATCACATTCACAGCTACTAACAGGCCATACCACATTTTGTTTGAGAAACCAGAATCAATCCACATAAAAGGATCTCATCATTCTGTTTGTGTTGTGTTTAGGAAGGGAAGGTAAAAATCTGTCTCATGAAAGCCATTTAGGCTTCAGCACACAGCAGAATAATTTTCATACTTAAGAATATGTACATTTGGAAGATGCCCCTTTATTCGACTGACTTGCACTGCTAATCCTCATATTGGTTTTGGGTTGATGTTGAAATACTATTTCTCAGAGTAAGGACCGTGGATTTTGTGCCTGATATGCTCGATTTGAATTTCATTAGGAAGCAGCCTGTCATGGAGGAATTAATGAGCGAGCAATAAATGTTCCTTTGTACATGTGACAATGTAAACTGTGCGTCTCGTGCATGTTTTGCCCTTCCACTGACATGATTTTACTATGTCCTGTTTAGGTCTCGGGATGGTTCCTTCCTGGCTGTGTCCTCCACAGACGGCTACTGCTCCTTCCTGTCCTTCTCTCCAGGGGAGCTGGGAACTCCTCTGAAGGAGCCGCCCACCTTGGAGGTCTTTGTCCCAAACAGTGGCGTTGAGAAAAAGGGCAAGAAGGCATCAGCGGCCAAGAGTTCACCTCCCATGTCCCAGCCATCCAGCTCGGCCCCGGCTCCCGCAACACAAGCCGGTCATGGCAAAGACGCCCCCTCTGTCACCCCCCCACAGGAGAAGAAGAACACCCCCACTGCTAAAGCTAAACTTCACCCCCGTAGGATCACCCTCAACACCCTGGAGGGTTGGGGGAAGCCCACTACCCCTAAAGCCACAGCTTCTTCAGCGCCTCAGACCCCAACATCTGGGAGCAGAAGTGCACCGTCCACTCCCCAACCACGTGTCGCTCCATTAACCCCCACCAACTCAGCCACCGCCCAGCCTCGCACCAATTCCCCCACTCCCTCCACACCAAAAGTCCTCAAAGGTGCGAAGACTGCTGGAGCCACCACGCCGAAGGGACCCACCCCAAGGTGAATATAAGCAGAGCTGTCTTGTGTGAGTCCGTCAGGGTCACAGAAAGTAAAACAGGGAATTAATATTTTACTCAGCACTGGTATACTTAAAAAAAATCAAAGTATACCGGAGTAAAATATTAATTCCCTGCTAGTAGGTTCTTCTAGGAATGTGAGAGTAAGGGAGAGTGTATCAAAGCTACAACTTCTGCTTTTTGTTCAAAACCCAAAGATGTTTATTTCACAGAGAGAGAGAGAAATCAGAGAATACGTCACATTATTACTTCATAATGGCTTCAAACATTCATATTTTCTTTAAAAAGCTAAAGTATTGATAATCATTACACACTAGAGGTTAAAAGGGTATGCATACCTTCTTTTTGTGTTTGTGAATATGTTCTTGATTGATTTTGTCAGCCGAGCTATGTGGATGTTTTTAAGTAAGTAAAAATCCAATCATGTATTTCATTGCCAAACCAGGCTTCCAAAAAGCTTCACAGTTACATAAAAAGACAACAAAAAGGCTCGAGAATAAATATTTAAATCAAAGACACGCAGAAGCAGAAAAGGACTTGTAAAAGAATGAGAAAAATTGCAGCAAGGGAGCATCACTAAAATCCCTTTGAGATCAAACAGATTTTGCGATGAGATTCAAAACACTGCCGAGTTTTCTGATCTGACCCCCAGGGGAGACCGTTCCATAATCTAGGAGCAGGACAGCAAAAGCTTAGACACCACAAGCCTTAAACTTTTGGGGGAGAGACCACCCACTGATACATGGAGAAGGCAAATTGTGTAATGCCTCAAAGAAAAAGCAATCAGACTGAAAGTTAGTGACACCAGTTCAAAAGTGATACAAAAGGCAGTGAAGTAATTATTAATCATGTAACGTAGAAATAATGCAACTTTTATTTCTGTGTCAGCGAAACCAATCTGAAATTTAAATGTGGTTATTAAAAGTTCTGTTTAGATCCAGCGCAGGTAGTGTGAAGATTCCAGGTGCTCCCTAATGCAGGACCACATATGGTAATTTATGGAAATACTGGAACTATTCAAATGTGTTCTGACTGTCTCACACTGACAGGGTTTGCTGCATCCACCTCCCTCCCCCTGTAATGATTAAAGTAACTAAGCTGATTATCCTGAAAGATGCAGTTTACAGAGAGGCGTGTGAACAGCAACAAAGCACTGTGTTCTTTAAAACGTGCCTTGTTTTTTCCCTCTACTTTTGAATATTCTTCAAAAAAGAAAACTGTAGGAGAAATATAAATAGCTTGACTAGGGTTGTGGTGTTTTTGTCGGTTTGCATGTACTCAGCACTGGCAGTGTGAACAAAGCCCCGTCTGGTATGAGGGATTCGTTGGACCCCCCACTGACTATAAAATAATAATCGCTCTGACAGACTGCTCATAGACAATAGCAGGCCTGCACATGCTTTTGTTTAAGTTTTTATTTTTTTGCATGTGTAACTTCAAATGTTTGACTCATTTCAACTGTTAGGCAACAATTAAATCAGATGAACAAATGATTAATACAATGGAAACATGATTTACTTTGTCCTCAGGAGTTTAACATGGTTGATTATCATGTTTTCTGCTTCGGTGTTAAGTTGATCGCCTCTTTAACATTTGTGTTTCCTTACAGGAGGGTATCTCTGACTCCCGTCGCAACCCGATCTCCAGCTGTTAGTTCACTTTTTGGCACTTCCTCTTCGATCGATAAGGCAAAACATGGTTAGTGAGAGCAGCTGCTTTGACTGCTGTCCTTCTGTGTAGTAATTTTGCAATGAGCAACTTTTGTGATTGAGCAACTTGATGTGAAACTTTCTCTGCCTCAGTCACCAACCCTGATTGATCAGGGTTTCACCAGTGGAACTTCTTCTTTCCTGATACTTTGTCCCTCACCTCAAGCTCCACATTGTTATTCATTTTTTACTTTTAAGTAAGGTAACATGAGCCTAGCGAGTGTTTTAGTTCAGAAATATAAGTCAGCGCTCTGCTGGGACTGTATGAATGTATGTAATTGGAGAAAAAGTGACAATTTTAAATGATACTGACAACAAATTGTATTGTCACCTCATGTCCTGATCCTTTTAATTAGATCAGAACTGGACCAATCAAACTGTTTGGTTCATTGCATCCCCAGTTGCGATCACTGTACGAGGTGTGTCAGAAAAGTTCCAGGGCTGGTTTCACAAAAGATAGATTTCAAACCCAAACGACCAGTTTCCCCCTACAGACGATCAACCAGCACGTCTGCATAGAGATCCTGCAGCGTTTGCTTTGTTCATATGCATGAGAAGAGGTGAGAGTTTGGGCAGGACAAGCCGTGGCTGCCTTATCATGACAATGCGCCTGCGAACAATGCCCTGAGCATCTTGCTACTCACCCCACCTAGTTCCGTGTGATTTATTCGTATTTCCCAAGCTCAAGGGGGTTATCAAGGGGACCCGTTTTGAAGACATGGACGACATTAAGACGGCTGTGACGATGGAGCTGCGGAGGGTCCCGGAATAATCATTACTTCGAAGGGGAAAACTTGTAGTTTGGATTTGAAATATATTGTTTGTGAAACCAGTCCTGAAACTTTTCTGACACACCTCATATATTGTTGTGTCATTATATACCATCATAAATCACTTCGGCCACATGTACCCTCTGTTTAAGGTAACTTTAAGGAGAGCAAGTCTGTTTTTATGGGTGCTATTGTGCTAGAGCTTAAAATCTCTTGACCCAAAGTATTTATTTTGTTTATTTATTTAGGTATAATACAAATTAGACAGGCTGCAGTCAACCAACTGATTGGTTATGGGGGGGAAAAAAAATCTGCACATTATCTCTGGATTGACTAAATGATCCACAGTGCCCTGAGTGCATTCCCCCCGCTAGCCTTATTAGCTGAAATGCATTATAAATAAACACAAAAAGCTAGTATTTGCAGCATATTTTACAGACTTGGAGCAGACCATCATGCATTCACCCATATTCACATGATTTCAGAAAACAGACTTATATCAACCTGGGGTCCCAGCGAAAGAACTACTGGGAAAAATAACACAGATGAGTTAACGTGCTGTTTTTTTTTTTTTTAGACAATACTTGCTGGTTGTTGTGCTGTGGTACGCAAACTGGTGTTAGTAAAGGGTCCACCTGACATTTGGCCATCCGTTTTAACAACATGCATCCACACTGACAACTATTTTCACGTGGTGTCAGTTAGCTTAGAGTCGACTCCCAGTAAACAGAAACGTTAAATGTGTTAGACTTGGGAGTTTCCATTAGAATGGGTGAGTTCAATGTTGTGAAAAACGAGGGGGATTTTACAGGTTTGTTTATTCCTCTCATCCCCAAAAACAATGGATTCATTCTGGAAGGCCATTGATGTCGCACTATTCTCTTTATTGGAGTAACACCGGCGATTGTCCAACCAATGAGAATGTAGTTGAATGAAAGCACATCAACCAACCAGTCAGACTGGAAACTACAGCCCCACAACTTGGGTTTTGTTTTTGTAGTTTCTGACCTCATATTCAGTTGTAGTAACTACTGGTTACTTTTCAAACAAGTTCAGCTATTGGCTGCCAACTCATGCTTTTTCTCCAGTTATGTTTCTTAAGAGATGTAGTGATTATCATTGATTTCAGCAGTTATCTTGCTGATCACAGTGTAGCTGTTGCTGATGGCAGAAACTATCATAACAACATCAGGTAATGAAAGTGGAATTTCACAAAATAAACCACTTGACATTAGAATAATTGGATATCAGCGGTGCTCTGTCTTGAACATTTCTACCATTATCTCGTGTGTGTTTTACTGTTCATATTTATTTTTAGTTGTGCTGCATAAATGTTAATTAGAGGTCTCACATTCTCTCACATCCCAGCAGAATATTACACAGAGAATGAAGTGTACCCTTCTGTCACTGATCCCTTCATTATGTTTTCCACCAGAGCGTCCTTCTCCTCCCACTGATCCCGTGTGCCAGCCTCCAGAGTCCAAACGGTCCAAGACCAGTGACCCCCCAGGAAAGAGCAGTGTCACCCAGGATTAGCGTTCACTGGAGTCAGACTCGAGTGCATGCAGCAGAGGGTGGCAGATAAAGACGCTTCAGTATAAAACCACTGAGGCTCCCCGTGGATGTTACACCATAGTGGAATAGCACTGTGTCTGCTCTCATATTGTCTGTACTTGATCTCATTAGACGATGCTTTACAGTTCACTTAAAGTACTCTGTTGGACTCCAGTGAGTATTTTGGAAGTAATTATTTTTGTAGTCATGTGTGTTTTATATCATACAGTAAACTGGTAATTAGGTAATTGTATTATATTTGATTTGTGTGGCATTTAGAAGTTTAAGTGTTGTTGTAAAGAGGAACATAGTCTCACTTCTTTTCAAGAACACGTGATTGTGAAGATATAACCGAACCACAAAGTGACCTAAAGAAGACAAAAAACAAGCACTTCAAGAGTTTGTGCCTTGTGTTAGCTTTGACTGTACAACCTGAGTCTTACTTGCTGAAGACTGTTCAAGGTAAAAACTCCAATTTTCAAGCATTTAAGTGTCATTTTTCTTTTTGTCTAATAAAGAGCGTTTCATATCGAGTGCAACTTGAAGTTGTTTGTCACATGGTGTCTTAAGTACAAGCAGCTGATAGTTATGTAGCATGTTAGGAAATAAATTCACATTTTCCTGGCAGAAATTAAATCTGAAACCAAATAGATCTAAAGATGTACATCTCTAACACTGAATTAATGCTGAACATGTCCCTGAGTAGCTTTGAAAATGTTCAATGTGTGAATGTTTGTCTCAGTGTATTCAACACTGAAATATATACATTTCAATTATTGAATTTTTCATGTTTAATTATTCAGCTGTTAAGTTATAAATTCTGAAGGTCTAAATTATGCATCATAAGCACCGATGCACATAAGCTACTTGAAAAACAATGAATTCTACATTTTCTTGACTGACCCATAAGTATTCAAACATACTAAGTCTTCAAAAATATGTGTATCATTGACTACAAGGTTAATAAAGCGAATCAACTGTCAGATCTACAAAGGACATGGCCTTAGTGATAGCCCTGACTTCACTGGCTCTGTTTTACAATGGAAGCCTCTCAATGTAAAGAATAGCTTATGCTGCTCATATATACAAAGTGCAAAACACACTAAATCACTCATTAGTTGTCAGAATAGACTCAGTAAAACCCATGAAAACTGACTTTTTCAACATATTTGAGGAAGCAAACATTAATAAAGGTGATTCACTCAGATGATAAATAAAACGGACAGGTTGTAGTCCTTTTCACAATTGAAATAAAATTAAAAAACAGATTAGTTGCATGGAAAAAGTAAGCACACCACTACATTCATCACACCTTCAAATCCATAAAATTAGAATCAGCGGTTCCAGATCAGCTGCTGCTGATAATAACATGCTTAGAGGAGTAACAGGTGGAACCTGTCGTATTTAAACCTCTGACATCCAGGATCTGCTGTTCTCTTTGCTGTTGAAGTGTGACGTGTCATCATGCTGAGATCTAAAGAGCTCTCTAAGCCCTTCCAAAAATAACCCAACAGCAGACAGTTTGATTGAAAAAGAAGTCTCCAAGAACCCTGAAATTTCACCAAAAAGGTGAGACTGTGCAGGAAACTCTTGCGACCGTTGGTGTCAAACGACTGCATCTAAAATGAGAAGTGTGTGAGGTGAGGTGTGCCAGGAAAAGGCCTTTACTGTCCAAAAGGAGCATTAGAGCAAGTGAAGACCAGGCATTCTGGAGTAATGTGCTCTGGACAGCTGAATCAGAGATAGAGCTGTTTGGCCACAGTGACAGCAGACATGTTTGTTGCAGGAGAAGAACCTCATAGCAACTGTGAAACACAGTGGTGGAAATATTATGGTTTTGAGTTGTTTTGCTGCCTGAGGGACTGGACGACTTGAATCTGAATCATACCATTGAAGATAATGAGAAGCCATCTGTCTTAAAGTTGAAGTTGAACTGGAAGTGGGGTTTTAACGGGACACTAATAAACCCACGAGGAATGGCTCAAAGAAAAAGAAATGGAAGGCTATAGAATGGTTTGGTTTATCGCCAGATTTGAATCCCACTGAAATGTTGGGATTTAAAAAATGCAAGAAAACCCTCAACTATCTTGCAACTGAAGGAATTCTGCACAGAGGAGTGCTCAGAAATTACAGCGAGTCAATGTCAAACACTGGTGGACAATTACACAAAACACCTACAAGGCTTTTTATCTGCTAAAGGTGGCAATACGAGCTTACATTCTTACTTGCTTTCTCCACAGAAACACATTATATCTACTGATATTTTTATTCAATAAATCACTGAAAAAGATGATTTTCCTTGTGGTTGCATTTATGCTTTTCACCTTTATCTATTGGCTTCTTATCAAAGGGGATGAAATCTTTGGGCGCCCCAAATCCATCAAAAAAGCCAAGGATTTCCATGGGATGGGTACTTGGTTTTTCACATGACTGTAGCAAAGAATTCTGAATCAGTGCAGCATGTGTTTGTATATATTTTTCCCTATTTTTACAGCCCCCTGCTATGAAACGCTGTGGACATCTTTGCAGACGTGTGAAATCAAATCAAAATCAAATCAAATCAAGTTTATTGTCATTTTGCTGTACATACACAGTAGTACAGGCAAGATGAAAGAGCGTTTCTTCAGGATTATTCAATCAGCAAGTTTTGCGGAATACACGTCTGGGATAAGACAATAAACGTTCGCTGTAGCTGCCTCCTGAAGGAAAAACATATACAAAGTATATATAGTTGGAGTTCTTGCATCAAGAATGAAACTGGTGGTGGTGTACAGGTCAGAAACAGAAGGTGGATGCAGGAATCGGTCATTATTTTGTCTTTTATGCACATGTACTGTAGTGGAAAGTTAGACAGATACAGTAAATACAGTTAATACAATTAAGTTTTTACATAATTGTGACTTTCTTTTACTAAATATAGTTTGTAGAAAAGTCTGCTATAAAGATAGCACTTTTTATGACAACAGGTTAAGACTGAACAGCAGGGTATCCTTTTATAGAAAAGAAAAAAGGTTAAAATAGTCCTATTACACTCTCTTAAAATTGAATATTTTGGGATTTCTTTGCTCATCTATGACAGAAAACTGAATGATTTATAGTTGTGGACAAAACAAGACATTTGAGGATGTAATCTTAAATTTTTCTCCATTTTCCTACATCTAATAGATCAATTAAGAAAATAATCGACTGTGAAAATAATTTTTAACTGCAGCTGCCAGAAGTAGTTTATATCAAAATGCAAGAATTATTTTTTAAAAATCTGTAAAGGTTATTAATTCATTATATGTGCTACATTACATTTTGAGGCTGAAATTTGTGGCTGCATTTTGTGTTTAGGTTTAGAAATCTTAAATTCTTTATTGAAAATTGAGTCAAGACTTGTAAAATTGATAAAGTATTGGAATATTTATAACTAACAGTAACATTGTGATGGCTAACGTTTTAAAAAAGGAAATAAATGTAGTGGGGTTTGTTCCAGCTAAATAACGTCAAGTTATTTTCAATGGATAAATACTGGACAACCTTCACGTGATATGATCTGCGTGCCAAAGTGAGTAAAATCCACTGGGTGGATCATGTTTAACTTGACTGTGCAGCAAGTGAAGCAAATACTAGTATATTGGCATCGTGAGCGAACAACCTACCTTGCTGCGAAGGAAAGACAACCTACTTGATTGACAGCCGTAACAGCCAATCACAAGCCGTCTGGCGGAGGCTCTTTAACGCTTCTGCTAATGGTCTTTGTGTGAAGGCGGGGAGGAGTTGGCTCGGTTAGGCTGCCGATTAGCAACAAACAGAAGGTTACGAGTTTGAAAAATTGGATTATTTCACCACCAGACTGGCTTTGCGGCAGCGAGAGCGGAGCGAACTATGTCGGGTGTCTGACCGGAGCTTGTTGGCTCGCTTTTGAGCGGAACCGGCGGTGATTTATAACATTTCGAGCCGCTCGGGGAGACAACCTCGCATTTAGGTCGTTTCAAGTGGCGATGCTGAGCTGATAGCTGCGTCATCATGTTGCTTCCGACTCGAGTTGGCGAAAAGAAATCTCAAGTTAACGCCAGAGGTGAGGCTGCCTGCCGTCATCCTGCCCCACAGGCCACTCCCGACCTCTGAAATAGATGGAAGACGGACTGCCGGTGAGAGGTTGGCGGTGAAAGCCTGTTTACGTGGTCGTTGTGGTGACTTTACATCACTTGGCTCGGCGTTGTTGGCGCGATACTCTCTCCTGGCTGCATTTATTATCTCCACTTGGCTGGACAGTCAAACATTTCTGTTGAAGTTCCCTAAACGACCGCAGAATTGCTCGGAAATGTGACCAAACAGAAAGTGTAACTGTATATCGGCGGATGTTAGCCACAACTGTTTCTTTTTTTTTTTTTTTTTGTGATAGTGGGAAGTGATGCTCTCATTGACAGCTAAGATACAAAGCAGGAGCATCCAATGAGAAGCTGCTGGTTCCCATCTGCTCTCTCGAAGAAAAACATGCCTTTGTGAGCCATAATGAGAGACATGACGCTGTATTTCGACTAACTAGCCCTGCAGGTTATGTCAGACTGTTAGCAGGAGGTCAGATAGTGTTTAGTTGGGTCGGTGGGCTGTAATCTGCTGTCACCACATCCACGTGGACTTTGTTTCAGGTCAGTGGGCAAAGTTTAGCTTAAAAAAAACAACAAAAGGGAGGGCGGGTGTTTGATTAGAAGTAGCTGCAGTCAAACTGGACAAAGTTGCATCCTTATATCGGGATATAAAACCGGTTAAAATGGCCGGCGACTGCGCCCACACCAACGCTCGTTACGCGAACGCAGAGACGTTTTGTCCGTCCAAACCCTGGTCGGATGGAGACCGAGAGCGGCTCCGGGAGATGGAGGAGTCCGTCGGCAACTCCAAAGGGCGTGGACCCCCCGCACGGTGGTCGCCCAACTTTGAGGTCATAGACGGGCTGCTGTACCGAAAGAAGCTGGAGAGGGGCTACATCAACTACCGGGAGGTTTTGAATGAGGACCGGAGACATGAAGCCATCTCCACCTTCCACCGGCGGCGACCTGGCCAGCGCCACCTCTCCCTGGAAGAGACTTACAAATGCGTGGCTGAAAACTACTGGTGGGATGGTATGAACATCAGCATTCACTCACTCCACAGGACTTTCCTGACTATGTAGACAAATGCAGGGAGGTTTCATCCTAACTATACTGAAGTAGAAGGTTGATTCATTCTCCAATGTTACAGAGATAGTGGATTAAACTGATTTCTTCTTGTTAATATCAACTTAATTAATCATCATAACTTTAGCAACTCATAAACAATAGTTTTCTACTTTGAGATGCTTTGATTGGAACTGATTTGAATTAATTTACAACTGAGCCTTCAACTACCTCATGAAACACTACAATGCTAACAGATTTCCCATCATGCATTGTGCTAGAATTAAAACTCTCCCTATACTCTTCTTTTTCAGCCTGAATATCCCTTTCATAGTGAAATTGTGCTGTGTGCCTTTTAACCGGCCTATTACCTTCAAATTTACGAAATCTTTTATCCTTGGGTTCAATTTGACCCCCGCAGTTTAAACCTCCAGAAAGCATCATAATGAAATTTGTTGCCCAAGTTTATGTGTAAATAGCCCTTTAAATAAAACTGAAAAAACTATGTCAATGACTTATTTAGAAATGTTAAACACTGAATGGGGTCAAATTGACCCCAAAGATAATAGGAGGGATAAGAAATATTAAATCCTGCTCGTTTCATTATATAATCCCGAAAGCAGTGCTACTACTGTACACTTTGAAACAGAGTCACTGGAAGCAGCTTCGTACGGCGACACTGGTAATAAATGTTTTCAACACTGCTGGTAGTTCTTCATGTCAAATGAAGAACAGACTCCTGAAATTGAGGAAATGTAAAAGCAAGTTGGGTTTGTGACAGTGGCCTGAGAGATGATTCAGTTGATTATCAGTTCTTAAATTTACTCAAGTTGTTCAGCAAACTCAACTAGTTTCACATTTAAAAAACTCCCAAGAAGACAGTGAAATAATTCTTCAGCCCAAGTTCTGTTCACTCTAATGATCAAATGATTAGGGCGGCAGGAGAGCTTGTGTTACTATGCTAAACATACTGATTGACGATGCAGGCACATGACAAAGCCATACATTAGTAAATCAATCAGTGGAAGATCAAGACACCTATTCAGACATGAATGATAGGTGTGGCCTTATTTGTGAGATAGCCCCTCCCAGATTGTGGCATTCATCAGGGTCAGAACCGGTACTTATATGGCTGGAGCTTCTCCTTTATAAGATTAGGTTGTTCTTCTTCTGCAGGCACCATTTGCAGTTGTACTAGCCATTGCTACCTGTCTTTTTGCCTTGTTTTCTGAAGTTTGGACAACTGTTTTCTTTGCAGGGATGTACTTCCAGATCAGAGATTTTGTCCTGGGCTGTCAAGACTGTCAAAGTCAGCGCAACAAGAAATCAGAGGTAAGTGCAGCAAGAGTCTGACATAGGACTGACAGCAAACACTGTCCTGAGGCCTTTTTCCTCTTATCAAACTTGAAGCTCCTGTCTGTGTCTACCGGTGCCTTATTATCTGCATCTCACACGTTTTAATTTACACTTTCTCGCTCATTGTCACATAATCTTGCTCTCACACTTGTCTCCTACAAGCGCTGATATATGTTCCTATAATATGCCTTTCTCTTGTTTTTTGTCTCTGCGCCTTTGCCTCTCAGGAGCTGGGTGGCAGAAGATGTGTCACAAAGACGATAGCGTCACACAGTGCTGACATGCTGAGCAAGCTAAGGAGTCAGCGGGAGGCGGGCTTGTTCTGTGACATTACCCTGCGGACAAACGGACGATCTTTCTCGGCCCACAGAGCCGTCCTGGCAGCGGTCAGCGATCACTTTCAGGAAATCTTCACGGAAATGGACTCAAGCATGAAAGCAGACATAGATCTAACTGGTAAGATCAGACACCTAGAGGCCAAGCTGACCTAGAAAACACTACTGTTTGAGCTGTGATTCAGCTTAGTGGCTGGATGTCAACCTAAAGACCTTTCTGAGCCTGTACCCTCTTCCCAAATGAGTCAGTTTGGCCCCACAGGCAACAAAACTATGCATTTGAGTGTTAGTGCTCCTATTAAACCACAAAGTCAGTATTTCCAATCTAAACACTAGGAAGAGGTTGATGGTACTAGCGTTAGAGTTTATGTGATTGCATACTTCATCAGAAGTGCTTTTTCTCAACTTTTCTGATATTAGAAATTCGAGTAGCTGCATCAAACAGTTTTTTAACTTTCCAAATTCAATAATCAACAGTTCTCACCTGCTTCATGCAATTGGTTAGATGTATGCAGGAGTAATCTAAGTAGAGGTTGGATTTATATGCGTCTTTTTTTAAATTTTAATTTTAATTTTTGTATACATATCTCAAGCATTTTTTGTGTGAACAACCAAGTGCAACACTATAAATGAGTTCCAGAAAAGACTAAAAAAAAATGTGCGCTATTGTTCACATATATCACGTGTCCAAGATTTTCTCTGCACCAGTCAGTGTGTCACTCAGACACTTTTGGCTTGACATGGTTGGACCGCATATTGTATGTGCTGTTTTTGTTGAGCTCAACCCAATCCTTATCTTCATTAGCAATTACTAGTTAATAGGCTTCCGTACATGACTAAGAAGAGAAGAATAAAATCATTACCTTTGGGAAACTGGCTCCAGCAAATGTTTGGTGTTTTTTGCTTGAAAAGGATTATTCGGTTCTCAAAATACTCGCCAGTACGTTCCCTGGTGGCCAGCTAATAAACTAATTGTTGCAGCTCCTGTTTGAAACATATGAGTATATTCAATAGTGTGTCTGTAGTGGCCTATAATAAGCACGTCCAGGATACAACAAACAGTGAGGTCAGTTTTTGTTTTACATTGGTCTGGTAGTCCGCGTGACATACTTATCAGTAACTGATGACTGCTTGAAAGTGAAATTGAGTAAATTTCACTTTCAATTTTGATAATTATTGGCTTGAACTGACAAGATTAGGCTTTTATTATTCCAAAAACAAAGGTTTGCAGGAAGCTGAGAATCAGTCCTGTCAGGCAATTTAGGCAAAAGGAGGCAGCATTTCTCAGCTGCACCTCAAAGGCCTTATGAGATGGGACCAGATTGTCAGTTTGTTGTGATGTATTCAGTCTAGAAATCGAGACTTTTGAGAATCAAGATCCTGAATTGGGAATCAGCTATAGTCCTTATCGTTTCCTTACTGTATGTCTTTGATGTGTGTCTTCAAATAGGAGCAGAAATGACCATGATTAAAGCAGTTGTTATATTGTCTTCCAGTCTCCTCTGTCATTACACTTTACTCCCACTTGTACTGCTGTCTCTCTGATCCTCTGTTTACACAGAGCTGCTTTCATCTCCCTCATCTCACTCACTGATTGACCAGGGTCCAGCATATCTAATTAAAGACTTCTTTTTCCCTCCAGGTTTCAGTGAGGACAGCCTTCTGTCTCTGCTGGATTTCTCCTATTCCTCCACTCTGTCTGTCCGCCAGGAGGACCTACCTGAAGTCATTGCCATGGCCCGCCACCTGGGCATGTGGCCTGCAGTGGAAGCCTGTTCTGCCCTCATTAAAGAGCAGGAACAGCAACTCCATCCTGGTAAGGGCTTTACTTTAGCCTGTGCCGGTGCATGCCAAGACCGCCATGACCTGCAAAGGGAGAGCAAAAGGAAAAGGGTTTTGGAATTAGAGGACAACATGAACAACAGCTTCAGTCTCACGCTGGATTCATCGGATGACTCTTTAGAAGGAAGTCCCAGGCGCAATTTGCGCAGAATGCCAAAACCCCAAGGTCATAATGGCCTCCCTCTGAGTCCCTCACATAGGATGAAGCTCATGGACTTCAAGTCTCCTTCATCCAAAAAGGCCCCCACACCTCGACATGCCATAGCCTCCCCACAGACGCAGAATTACTCCTCCATACCTCCATCAAACACCCGTCTTCTCCGCTCCACTCCTGGAGCTGCCAAGGAGGTTCAGAGATTTCTGCCGATGCCAGAGAGCCCTCGAAGAAACAAAAAGTCTCCCTCTATCACACAGCTCTCATGCAACTCCAGATCGAGGCCCAGCACTGTCTGCAGCCCTGTGAGGATTAAGCAGGAAGTGGAGGAGGTTGGAGAGGATGAAGAGGATTATGCCCGAGCACAGGAGAAGTACAAGTTGATGAATGTTCTGGGGCTACAGAGGACTGCGCTTCTCCCCAGACCAGAAGATCTGATTGGCTGGAGACAAAAGAAACGTCTGAGGAAGCTGAAGGCCAATAACTATTCACTGACCAAGCGCCGGAAACCCCGTTCATCATCCTCAGGACTAACATATGCAGATGTAACGCTGTCTCTTCCCCTCTGTAACCCCGTAAACACTCGCCTTCTAAACAAGTCTGTAAAAACCAAGCCTGTGGGTCCAGTCAGCAAAGAGAAGATTGCATCTAAGAGGCCAAACACCTCCCAGCGCCGTGTTCCTCCCAGTGACAGGAGCATGCGAAGTAAAGGAGTGTTACCAGACATGTTCCAGCCTGCATCCAGACCTGCCTTTGGGGGGCGGGAGCTCAGACGGTCTGTGAGGACGGGTGATTGTGCCCACCCTCATACCCAGCAGCCTCTGCGACGCAGCACCAAAAAGACTGTTGTGAGAAACACGGTCAGAATCAAATCGGAGCCAACTGAATACTGCATCTCAGGTCTCAGACTTTCATCAAACAATCACCGTGCCCACACACCTCTCAAATCCCTGCCTTCACAGAGGACACAGACCAGAAATAAAGTCACTGTAGAGACGGTCAAAACACTGCGTTATAATAGCGGTCGACCTGCGACAAAGGCCAAACTCAGGCGGGGCTCCACAAGGGAGGTGGAGAAGATGAGGTGTACGCCCAGAGAGGAGGGAAGGAAGGTGGGGAGCCAGGGCCTGAGAGGGGTCATGGACACTAGACCAAAAGTGAAGAATAATGAACCTGCTGCACTCCAGTTTTCAGAGCACGCACCTCCACCGTCCATCTACAACCACCCTCTGTACAAAGTCATTAAAGAGGAGCCAGCAGACCCTGTGCCAGTTGTTGGACCGTTCCCTGATCCGCCCTCACCAGACCTGGGCAAACGGCAGAGCAAGCCCCCCATCAAATTACTGGACTCGGGCTTTCTGTTCAGCTTCTGTCGGCCAGCAGGGGGGCCCATGGCAGGACTGAAGAAAGAGGAAGAGAGTGTGGATATATGCTTAACTAGATCTGTGTCACAAGTTGGGGAGAAATTTGAAGCGAACGAGTCCCCACACAGGACGCTGAGAGCCAGAGGGCCGCCCATCCTGCCTGCAGTGAAGAAGGAGAGGGAGGAGAGGAGAGTGAGCCAGGGCAAGGCTCAGCGACCCAAGCCAAACTCCCGAAACGCCACTTTGCATCTGGCCAAATGTGCTGGGTCAAAAACTGCACGGACCATGCCAAAGGTATCTAATAGGGCAGTTAGTGATGTATGAGGATGGCTGTGTTACCTTTAGGGACCATCAAGCATCTAGAAATGAGTAATTGTATATAGAGGTTGAATACTGTGGAGAATTATTAATGTCACCTTCCTTTATAAAGCTAAATTTAAAACTGCACAGCTTTTAGTTTGAAGTGTTCCCCCTAGTGCCTAACCTGTGAAAGCAGGGCATTGTTTTTATCTACAAAATTTGAGTGAACTAATCTATATTTGTTTTTTCTACAGCAACAAGGCACACGCCATGCTCTGAACAGCAGGAACTGTGCCATGATGGATGCCGTTCGTCGGGCACGGCTAAAGCAGCTTCGAGGGCCTCGTAGTCAAGCCCCCAAAGTTCCAAAGGCGGCCCATGCGTGCCAGCAGTGCCCAGCCTCCTACAAGGATTGCGATGCTCTAATTATGCATCGCCTCAGGCACATCGAGGGCAAGCACTGGCCTTGTCCGGTAAGCACTGGCCTTCCTATACTTGTACAACTTGACGAACAAAAAATCTGTTAACTTCCTCTTCCTGCCAAACATTGTGCCAGCGGATCTGAGGAAAATATTTTAGAGTTTCAAACCATTACATTTGGTCTAAATTTCTGTTTAAACAGTGTTTCATTTGAACCCTGGTGAGGTTTGTGTTATTGCTGACTTTTTATAAACAAACCAAGAAGTAATTATGTAGACTAACAGAACTGATTGGAGTGTTCATTAGTGCTACATGTATCACTGTGAGGACAAACATGAGGTTTTGCTGCACTTTGATTGTCATGAACACACCTCATAGCACATTGTTAATGGCTTCTAGAAAATATGGCATCACTACTGAACACAGATCCTTCTCTGGTCATTTCTGTGCTGTTAATTCTTTACCTCTCTGTGCCCTGTAGCTCTGCAGTAAGACGTTCTTTCGACTAAGGAATGTACGGAACCACATCCGCACCCATGACCCCAAGTTATACAAATGCCGGAGCTGTATTGTTGCCGGTTCCTGAGGCAGCTGGATGGACTGGTCAATCACTGAGACTGAGGTGAGTGAGTGACACCTAGAGCTGCTCCAGACCAAAGATTTTCCACATTGACGAGTACTCCGTCATTCAGCCATTCGTTGAGTAGTCATTATCTAAATATATATTATATAACAATAAATAGAATATGAAATTATTAATACTGTGCTACATTACAGAGGAAAAACAAAACCGCAGCTAATAGCACCAAGCAAGCAACATCAGCAAAAGTGTAGGGACAATCAATGTGTCAGTAACAAAATTTACAGTCTCCTGTCTGGTTTAATTAAGTCTAATCATATCGTGTACATCAGGTCGGCAAAGCGTAGCCAACAAGCATCTCATCCTCAGTAAGCAATTTGGTAACTACAGCACCCTACCTTAACGCTGATATGACTCAGTGGCTGGCTCACATTAGACCTGGTCGCTGCATCGGTGGTCCAGTAGACTGTTAGAAAGTCCATAAACTTTTTACCAGCCCTGTCCGTCTCTTTACCTGACCTCTCCATGCGCCTGCCGTTCAGGGCGACCATGAAAGTGTGCTGCTTACACGTTCTGAGACTGCTCCGCCGAGCTCCACCCACTGCAGCCGCAGGGCCTAATAACATTTCTGGCAGAAACCCCGAGTTTGCATGACACCTTCTTGAGGTCGTCCATAACCCTCTAAAATGATCCCACGCTTTGAATTTCCTGCCCAACATATGTAATTACTGTCCAATAACTGCAGGGACCAGCCGTGTAAAGGATAATGTCTGTCCGTGACTGACTGCTTTCCCTCCCTGGAGTTGGAAGTTAGTTTTTTTTTTTCCCTGGCCACCAATCAAAACTTGTTCAACTGGGACTCCTCTCATCAGCATGTCTGCTATTAGAGGGCAGCCTTGGTGACATCTGAGCTACTTTCCAATCAATTGCCCATCACTGTCATTGTCTGAAGCTATCTACTGGTGAAGTTTACATTTATTTTTTTCAAAGAGGAGACAAGTGTGTATTTAATCTTCACTTTATATTCATCTTGCAGAAAGAGCTATCAATACACTGCAGTGCAGTGTAATCACATGTGTTCAGTACCTGCATTGATTCTCTTTAAAGGGCCCTGTCTGTTTCTTAACACTCATGTTTGTTTTGCAGGATGAAGACTGCCAGTGTCTAACACCAGCGAAGAGGCTGAATCCAGAGGCACATGATCGATCAGCAGCTTGTACATAATGCATCCGTCACACACAAGCACAACGGTCTGTGGAAAGGCATAATTACTCTAGATTCTAATCATTGCCACTGTCAATGATTGCTAAAGTTATTTAAATAACCAAACCAAGGTTGCTGTTCCTGTTTGCTTTTCCGTAGCTACAGAAGGTTAAACTTGAACATTACACTCAGGGGGCAGGGAAGGTGACGCCACGGTATAAAGTGATTTAACATCACGGTTGTGTACAAAATGAAATGTAAAGTGATTGTTATAACTATTACTGCTACTTAGTGTTATCTTTATTTTTCTATGTATAGATGAATTTTGAGTGCACTTATATCATAGCTAATGTTGTAAACCTAAGAAGTGGTATTGAATTTGAAGGTTTGGAGTTCACGGTGGGAATACTTGAAGTGATGCAAGTGCTGTGGAGGGAATACTTGAAGTTGGAGCGGGGTCTTAAGAGTGAGCCTGTCCTTTGGGTGTTTCAGTGGGTCTTTGTCCTTTGGTGTGCTAACTTTTAAATGACTTGACTAGTCTTTCCCTCCTTTCGTATCGATCTGCCACTCTCACCTAATCCACGAGTCGGGGATTCGACCTGGGGGTGGGGGTGGTGTGGTGACGCCACTGCATGTGTATTTGCAGGCCATTTGTAGTCCACTGTCTTTTCTAAGGCTGCCAATTTTAAAAAGGGAAACGTGTCTTGTTTTTAATGTGAATTTCTGAATAGTAATCAACACGACATTGTCATTACAGATGTTTTATTGATCTCTTCTTCCACTTTAATCCAAGACAAGACGCTCGTTTTATTCTACTTCAAATTCTCCTACTGAGTAAATGCAATGTGTGCACATACAGAGATGTTTATGTTTCACAAATTGATTTTCAAAATAAATGAGCTGTCTTTCGCTATCTGTTAAGACTGAATAAATTTTTGCCTTTTATATTCTCTTCTTCTTGTTTTAAGTACATGTATTTTGAGTTGAGGAGCATGGAAAAAATGGAGGAGTGGAGCCAGTGACTCAAATTAAAGTCAAATTATAGAGTTGGAAAAGTTTGATTCCAAAAAATATCACCACGATACAACAAGCTAAAGTTCAAGTGGAACCTTTTCGTTCACTATTTGTTTTGTTGCCTGAGAAATGGTGAAACATTATTCCTAACTTATTTTATCTTAGTCATTATTTAGCAGTGTCACTTTTTCAAACTACAATCAATTGCCTTTTCATTTTTAAGCAAAAAGCGATGCCAAACTTTTCCTACTCCCAGCTTCTCATATGAGGATTTACTACTTTTCTGTCTCAAGTGAATGTTTTCACCATGATTAAGCATTTTATAGACACATCACATGATGAGTGCAGAAAATACTCTTTACTGCAGCCCTATACAGGAGATATCATTCATCTGGAGAGGAAATGTTTGTCATGGCACGTGTAGTTCTTTTCTCAAAGTGTAGCGGGGATGTTGGGAGATACTGGATCGGCAGTAGGTTGAGCGCAACATTCATCCAGACAACAGGATGTCGGGGTGTTCTGTCTGCGGAGGTCATGATCCAGGAGGGATGACGAATAGCTCCAGACGTGAATCACTCATTTGCATCTTTTCTGACTGACTCATCCGCTGAAAATGTGGCGGTCTTAAGACATGTGCGTGTGTTCAAAACTAATTTTATCCAGAAACGTGTACAATCTGTACACTTCTTTGCATCCTCGTTAAATCGCTGTTGCTGTGCAATATTTCAATGGATCAGATATACATCAAGTACAACATCTGATATTAACACAACAAAGGTGCATAAAATTTATTTATGATGCAAACAGCAGTGAAAATTTTACTTTTGCCAAAAGCTGGTTTTGCTACTTTATCCAGCACCTAGTAGAAACTTTGGTATATATATTTTAAACTGTAAATAAAAGAACTTTGATATCTTTAAAAACATATGTATATATGTATATTTATTCATGTCTGACTAATGTACATATTAATATATGTTTATGCATTAATGACATGATACATTGGATTATTGTGTATTTTTGAGACTCATTAGATCTACAAATGCATACTTTCTTTAGATTCAGGTGGCTTTTTAAGTAACTGCTAACATTTAAATATACAGAAAGAATTTAAAGAGCCCATTTTATTTTTTGGGGGGTCCTTCCTTTTTCTTTAGTGTGTTATTTTGCTCTTTTGTGCACATAAAACGTCTGAAAAGTCCACACCAAAGACAGTTATTCTCTCTTATTTGAAGTTCAGGCTTGTCTTCCATTACTTACTTATGTCACCATGTAAAAGATTTGCATAACACCTGTCTTCTCTGCTAGTTTAGCAAACCCTCAAACAAAAAAAAAAAGAAATCACACAATATTTCCTTATACCAGTTTAGCATAATATGGACTCTTTAAAAATGAATGTAAGATTTACTTTATAAACAGACTGGAGGTAGAAACAAGGAATACTTTTATTTAAGTTGGGATGTATTTGTGGATAAGATTTATTCAAAAATCAGAAATATTTGCAGATGTCTTCTAATTTGTGAGCCTTGGAGCTTTCACAACTGTGATGATAAATCCTCTACACAACTTTGTGATTTTGTGCATGTTGAAAATTTAACCTTTGCACAAGTGTCCCTGAGCAAAGCACTGAAACTAAGGAGCTCTGCCCCTGAGTCTGGCTCTCACTACGATACACGCAGGAGAAAAAAAAAGAGAATTTTTCAGCAGAGAAATCTAATGAATGCAACCAGACAAAAAAAAAGAAAAAAAAAGAGAATTTTTCAGCAGAGAAATCTAATGAATGCAACCAGACAAAGAGAGGAAGCAAGGACCTCTTTATCCAGTCCACATTCCTACATCTCACTTCCCATGTGCCTATCTTGCAAAACAAAAATCTGATCTGAGTCTTACTACCAGCTCTGATTCTAAGTGAATGAATTTGCTGTAATATTTTTTGCAAGATTTGTGAAGTTGCTCTTGTCTCTGATTGCAAATACAACGAAACAGTACCCAAAGCCGACACTAGATGCCAGCCTACACTAGTGGATAACAATGGCTGCTCCATAACAATAAGACTACAATGCAAAATGGTTCCAGCAATATAAACCTTTACCTCTGAAAAACCTCGAGACACCCCCAACGTAGAGTGTCTGAGTGAGGGTGGAAGAAATGACAAGAATGGGATCGTTCAGAGCATAGAAAACCCTTTCATGACTTCTAGCTCTGCATAGAAATAATGATTAGAATTTGCATGTTTTTGCGTTGAACTATTTGTAAAAGGCAACACAGGAACAATGACAAAAACTGCAAAGAGGGTTTTGTGGTTGTAACACTGCTGAGTTGAACTGCCCTTGATTGCAGGAGAGGAGTGAGCAGAACACAAAGGTGGTATCAAAACACTACTCATGCATGATGAAGACTCCGACTAATGACAATGTGCTGGTGTTTGCATTAATTAACCAAAAAATGCTGAAGGAAAAAAACAAAAAAAAAACGTTAACCCTGCAGTTCCATTAGCCCTTGCAGCCTTATTATAGAATAAAACTCCCAGCGCCTTCACACTGCAGCATTATTCGGGGGCCTGGGTATACTTTTTCAGACTCATAACCAACAGGACTTTACTTGGGTTACCCTTGCCCTCACCAGCGGCTGCATATGTGGGCTTATGTGAGTTTAGGGAGCCATGGAGAGTACGCCCAGGAACAGCTGACAATTTATGCTAGTGGGGCCCCCACATTCTCAGAGAGAGGGAGAGGAGAGAGAGAGAGAGAGAGAGAGAGAAGAGAGAGGGGGGGAGGGAGAAAGGGAAGACAGGAGAGAGGAGGGAAAAAGAAAGGGGTGAGGAGGAGGAGGGATGGGTGGGAGCAAAGCAGACTTGGGTTTGTAGAGGGGAAGAGAGAGAGAGAGAGAGAGAGAGGGAAAAGGGGAGAAAGAAGGGGAGAGAGAGAGAGTGAAACAGAGAGAGAGAGAGGGAAAAGGGAGGCTGTCTTGTTTGTAGCTTGTCAGCAATTGCTTGAGACAAGCTTCCCCTCCATGTGTGAAAGCTACTTGGCAGGAATGCTTGGGCTGTACCAAGTGCGGCCAGGCGAGAGGGGGGTTCCAGCAGAGGAACAGACCCGGATTGAGGAGCCAGTGTGTGGCTGAAGTAATCCTTTCGGCAGTGTCGGCTCTTTGATGTTGTATCTTTGTGGATGTGTGTGTGTGTGTGTGTGTGTG